ATATGTTATCCATTTCCCACTCATATCAACCTTTTTCACACTCATCGCTTCTATTGGAGATAGCCAATGTGGTGAGATTAGTTCTTCATTTTTTTAAAAAAAGAAATGAGAATTCAAATGTGCCCCTCCTGAACCCCCGTGGCTGTATATGCCTGCAGTTTGGCAGGATTAATCTACTAAAAAAAGCTGCCATGTCTGCAAATTTCATCCACTTCTGTGAAGAGGGAACAAACAAAAGCCAGTTACAGATTGCCCATTATAGTGAACAGGGAGGGGAAAGCTTTGTTTTTCACAGATACAATTTTGTATTGAATAATGAATTGAATTCGAAAGGGACAGAGCAGCAGCAACAATGATAACAACATCACAGACAAAATATATTGGGCTGCTTCCAAGTTGAATCTTTCAGCTGTTGCATGACTCTAATAAATACTGGAATAAATTAAAAATCAATTGTAATGGGTAACCTACAGTTAGGTCTTTTGAACATTGTGCTTTACTGATATTTATGCATTTAAAACCTTACAGCACCCTCCATTCTATGTAGAATTTCAGGATGGTGTGTGATTTGGGTAGTGTAGTTAGGCAGAAAGTTCAAAGGTGGACTGATATTTCTATCAAGTTGGAGAAATCTTCTCTTTTCTGTTTTTAAATTTCCGTGTTTGGAAATTTGATTAATCAAGAAAGAAAGAAAGAGAAGGAAAGAAAGAAAGAAAGCACATTTGCAATTATATCGGTATAGCTATACACTTCTTTACAAAATAATGCAATCCTAATCCTTCCATCCGTGCAAATATATGATTCAAAAAGTTAATGGAGCTTGACCATTGATATCAAAATCGACCAAAGTTTTTGCTTCCCTTCCCTTGTTCCAACTAAGTTTGCCCATTTAACAATTAGGGTATTGCTCAATACTTTGTTTAACTCACTGATCTACAACGAGTGAAGTGAAGTGAACTGAGTTCCAGAGGAATGCAATTTTTGTGGGTATAAGAGATAATTGATTTTCTCTAACCTCTGGGCCAAACTCCTTGCTACTTCATCCACACATTTCTACTTAAACAGGACACTTTTAGTCTGGAAAAAAACAACCAGTCACAGGATTTCAATCCATAACACGTTCGCCATCCTGATTGGTGGGTGCATCAGGCTTATTCTGAAAATGGCAAATGGAAGCAATGTGTGTTTGTGTGTATCTTCAGCAGAAAGCTGATGCGGCACAAAATCAGAATGACAATGACATTCCAGATTTGGACCCTGTAGCTGTTTTCTTTTATAATAATAACAATAATTTATTATTTATACCCTGCCCATCTGGCTTGGCTTCCCCAGCCACTCTGGGTGGCTTCCAACAAAATATTAAATACCGTAATACATCAAACATTAAAACCTTCCCTAAACAGGGCTGCCTTCAGATGTCTTCTAAAAGTCTGGTAGTTTTTCTCTTTGACATCTGATGGGAGGGTATTCCACAGGGTGGGTGCCACTACCGAGAAGCCCCTCTGCCTGGTTCCCTGTAACTTGGTTTCTCGCAGTGAGGGAACTGCCAGAAGGCCCTCGGAGCTGAACCTCAGTGTCCCGGCAGAACGATGGGGGTGGAGATGCTCCTTCAAGTATACAGGGCTGATGCCGTTTAGGGCTATAAAGGTCAGCACCAACACTTTGAATTGTGCTCGAAAATGTACTGGGAGCCAGTGTAGGTCTTTCAAGACCGGTGTTATATGGTCTCGGCGGCCACTCCCAGTCACCAGTCTAGCTGCCGCATTCTGGATTAGTTGTAGTTTCCGGGTCTCCTTCAAAGGTTACCCCATGTAGAGTGCATTGCAGTAGTCCAAGCGAGAGATAACTAGAGCATGCACCACTCTGGCGAAACAGTCTGCGGGCAGGTAGGGTCTCAGCCTGCGTAATATATAAATGTTTGCATGCAATTTTGCCTAATGCATTCAGTTTTGCAATACAGTTTCACCTAAAATAATGCATTTTTGAATGCTGTTTTGACTAAAACATGCATTTCTGTGCATGTTTTACCCTAGTACCTGCAAACTCCAAAGGATAGCTGTGTTTTAATTACCGTATTGTTTTCGAAAGTCAGGTTAGGTAGGTTCGCCCTTAAAGGTGAACTTACCGTATTTTTTGTTCTATAGGACGCACATTTTCCCCTCCAAAAATTAAGGGGAAATTTTTGGGGATGGCTGCGCGCAAACCTCTGCAGGGCAGCAGGGCACTGCGCTCCAAAGGCTTCAGGGATCTTTGGGGCTGGCGGTGGGCGAAAGCAGCACTTCCCCCCACCGCCAGCCCCACAAGCTCTGGTGAATGTACCTTGAACGCACCTTGTTTTAGAGGGGGAGAACAAGAAATCCCCCCCCCCGTTCTCCCCCTCCTATGGTCTGGTGCGTCCTATGGTCCGGTGCGTCCAATGGAGCGAAAAATACGGTAATCCTTAATTTCTCCCCCACCCCCCTGCTCACAGCCTATTAGAAACAGCAAATGATTCCTCCTGAAGACTGTGAACACCACCAGTTCATTTAGAGGCAGCCCCCTTATGAAGAAACCAAATTGATGGAGAAAAGAAAAGGATAAAACAAAAGGCCCCGTTGTGTTCAAAGAGGGGTAGACAGAATTTGTCTGCCAAATGAAAGAACAGCTGAACATGAATAAGAAATGGAGATAATGAAGGGAAGAAACAATGACTGAAAGAAGACGCAGATTGGGACACATTGAAAATCCCACCCAAATGGCGCTGAAACAAACATTGTTCACAAGGTTCTTGATGCATTGTTTGCAACAGCTGCCTGGGAGAAATTGGGAGCCAGCTCCCGTTGCCTTTAGGGGGAGCAAGAGTGGATTACAAATGATTGTCCATTCACATCGCCCAACCTGAGCCCTAGCAAAGGCATGCTGACATTTTAAATTTTTTATTGAATATATTTATATCCTGCCTTTCCCTTTTAAGTACGCAGTTCATGAGGTCGCTTGCAAAAAACGTAAACCTCACAGCATCATAATAAACACAATGATAAAACAGGAGAAAGAAAAAGCAACAAAAAGCGAGTGCTCAGAGTCCTGTTTTTGCTGGGGCCTGCGTGCATTTACTCAGGAAATGCTTTGGCAAGCATCGAGACCACCAAGACACAAGTTGGGAGTACATGAATAGATTGATGTGCAAAGGGCGTTTTGAACATAGGGAAATTAGGGTGGGTGTGATCCTGCCCACTCAGTGTGTTTATTTCTACACTTTGTTAATATTTGCATACAGCTGATGTAAAATAGGACCAGTGACAGTCTATATTAAGAAAGACACTCCCAACGCCAGGAGAGTCTAAATTCAACAGTATCAAGTTTGCTCATGACCTGTAATTCATCAGTAGGGTGACCCAGCAACCCTGTTAGGGTGGCACCAGTCCCTAGAAAAATGGGATTGTTGGAAAACGAGCGAGGTCCCAACTAAAGAAGAATGGCGACTTAAGCTTGATGGTGTCTTCCGACGCCATCAAGGGCAAGAAGCTGGAGCTGTGGCTCAAGTTGTTTGTGGGAGCTGTCCGTCTTCCCCTTGCTCCTGTCCATCTACATGAGGCAAGGGGAAGAACTGGACCAGAGTCCTGAGGTAGGCGGGAGGCTGAATTCAGGGTACCCCACTTCTCCTAAAAAAATGAGGGGGGGGGAAGGATTTGGTGTCACGAGAATGTGTGTGCACTGCAATCCCCACCCATGACTTGTCCCATGTTTTGCCCAACCAAAGGTGGCCACCTAGCCAGGAGCATCCCAGAACCTGAGATTTGCAAGCCCAAACACGACACATCAAGCATTAAGCCCAGTTGCTGAGAGCATGCCATTTGAATGTAAAACACAAAGTCTAACATATGGGGAGATATGCCATTGATTGGGAATTCAGGTTCTACTGAAGCGAAGGGACTATTCGTTCTCACCAGCTCGGGGAGCTTGCATAGGGAAGGCTTGTTTACACATTTTTGTCTACTTGAAGAAGCCATGGTCCGATCTGAAAAATGCAAATATTTAGGTTACAAAACTGTAAAAATAAAGAAAAATTAAGTTTGCAAAACAATAATTACCATATGGTTAGGGCAGGTCAACGTGTCAGTGTCCACTTATCCCCAGTGTAAATATGACCTATCGGCAAAAGTCGGAAATTGAAAGATAACTCTAGCAGGTACACAAAAATTGATTTCAGCATTGAAAGAACATATAAGAACAGTTGAAAAATCTCTTGCAAAAGAAAATGAAAAGAAAAAAAATTTGTTCCCCAGTATGCTGTGTATCCCAAGGGAATACATTTTTTTGCACACCTCCAACTGTACATAGATATACATGTCATGTTCAATGCTATATAAATCACTTACATTTATACTCATATTGCACTACTTTGGCTATGTGTTTAATAAAATATTGAATTCTTGCATTGTGAAAACCAAAGATTATGGTGAAAAGTGAAAAACTTGAATTGCAAAAAATCTAGAGCTTACAGAACAAAACTAACTTCAGATATGAAATTAGCACGTCGAAATTAGGTTAGATCAACTGCAGGTGTCAATGTGACAAAATTTTTGTTCCCCAGCTTCCTTCTACATCCTGTTTCCTCCCTGTTCCTACCCATTTCCTGTTTCCTCTTAAGCTCCCTCCTGACTACCTTCTTCTGCAGTTAAAGGGAACGTGGACTTCTCTTCCTGGAAATGGTGATGGCATTAATTTCTCAGTCTCCCTTCTGGTTGTGCTGTAGCCCACAATCGTGGAGTGAAACGATACCATCCCAGTGTTATCCCCTACCCCACAAAACTCCAGAGTTGTAAAAGAGAGGGTCCTGTGATTAGGAGTGTCTTGGGATCTTACTGGTGGGTTCAGGTCTGCAAAGGGCCATTGGGCAGCCTATGACTGTGGCCTCTGATGCAATGTGTTCTATACCATTGCCAGGTTTGGCAAACCTGCCACTTCTTAGAATATAGAATTGTAGAGTTGGAAGTCCAGCTCCCTACAATGCAGGGATATGCAGGGGGCCTGCATGGGCATTGAACCCAAAACCTTGGCGTTATCAGCACTACATTCTAACCAACTGAGCTAAGGTAACGGTAAAGGGACCCCTGACCATTAGGTCCAGTCGTGGCCGACTCTGGGGTCGCGGCACTCATCTCGCTTTATTGGCCGAGGGAGCAAGCGTACAGCTTCCGGGTCATGTGGCCAGCATGACTAAGCCGCTTCTGGCGAACCAGAGCAGTGCACGGAAACACTGTTTACCTTCCTGCCGGAGTCGTACCTATTTATCTACTTGCACTTGGTGTGCTTTCGAACTGCTAGGTTGGCAGGAGCAGGGACCGAGCAACGGGAGCTCACCCCGTCGCAGGGATTCGAACCGCCGACCTTCCGATCGGCAATCCCTAGGCTCAGTGGTTTAACCTACAGCACCACCAGTGTCCCAGACCAACTGAGCTAACTGGTCTTAAAAAGCCTTCCCTAGGTGTTCCTATGATTGCCTCGCAAGTTACATTCCCCTCTGCCCAGATTGTTTGGAGGCAGATGTCCCTCTTCGTCTTGTAGTTTAGCTGCAAAATAATTTAACAACCCTGATTCTAAATGGAATGGAAATTTCCCTTCGGCTCCGGGGGGAAAAAAAAGACCAAAGACAAAGTCCCCCAAGAAATATTGGAAATATTTACATCTGAAAATGGAAAGCACTAAAGGAGAGTGCACATCTGCTTTTGAATAATCGCAAATCCTCCAAGCAGTGTTCAAAGAGACTGTCAAAATAATTAGCATACTAACGACCACACTGGGTAACAAATGGATTTCTAGGGTAAGTAACTGGCAGGTGGAGGGATTGGAGCATTTTACCCCAGTGGGAAATTGGTTCGGTTTTACTCTTCTGGTTTACCCTTTCAAGAAGAGGGCTCCATTTACATCTTTAGCTTTGTCAAGGCAAGAAGACAGCTAGCCAAGATGACTAATGGCCTGGTCCAGCCAAGGGAGAGCAGCATGTGGAAGTAGACCTATGCACAGAGTGCTAAGCTACCAGCAGGGAACGATGTATGTGGTGCATTTGCGGTATTCAAAAATATGGCACCCCCTCCTGCAGTTTGAAGTGGAATGGTCCCGAATGATGCTATCACACAGTCAAACCAAGTGCTGTACTAATGCATGGCTACTACTGAAAATGGAAGCTACGTGCTTAGCTCCCCTTCTAAAATACCCAAGGAGTGCATTTCCTTCTGGGCAGTCTTTGGAAGGCCACTGTCATTGAAGCAGAGGAGTGGTGGGAGGCTGGGGAACCCCTAGTGGAATGAAGCTCAGAGCCAGGGAATTGGTGGTGGGACGATGGTGAGTGGTCAGAGGGAGGAGGAGGTGTCGGAAGCTGAAGAGGCAACAGGGTTTAGTGAGCGGGAAGAGGCTGTGGCAGAGAGCAGTCCAGAAGCAGAGGCAGAAGCAGAGGCTGGAGAGAACAGGGGCCAAGAGGAAGAGATGAAGCAGGCAGCTGAAGAAGCCAGGGAATCTCACTCTCCTGCAGTGACCAGCTCCCCTCCCCCTTGGTCTCCTAGAACATGGAGAGAAATGAAGGGGTTGAGCAAAGAGAGACAAGGCAGAGGAGCCTCAGGTTGCTGGGGAAGGACCTGGGGCAGTCTTAGAGAGCGGAGGGTGAGAAAGACCAGCCTGCAGTTCTGACCCATCAGGGGCATTTGAGGATTAAGCAGTCTTTCTTCCCTTGCTTTTGAGAACATTGGCTTTATCCAGAGAGTGATACGAAGCGAGCCGTTTCCCGGCAGGATATGTAGCTGAAAAGATTCATTGCAAGGCAATGAGTCTGAACTCCAGTCCTATTACAATACATATAGCCTGCGTTATCCGTGTTTTGTCTCAGTTGTCCAAGCAATCTTAATGGTCTTTGCTACGATCAAAGTTACGCAAACACACAAATCACAAATACTAACTCTTTCCACTGTTCTCATCCTTCTTAAAATGATATAAATTCAATGAAGAAGAAGAAGAAGAAGAAGAAGAAGAAGAAGAAGAAGAAGAAGAACGTAGTTCTGAGATCAAAGCTACTTTGGAAAGCTTTCCCAGTCCACCAGAAAACACTTTTAGAAAATAAATAAATGAAATACAATATTTATGAATGAAAACTTACGAAATCATGCCATTGAAATGAAGCACCTTGTGGGGCTTAATTCTTTGATATGCATTAGATGTGCAATATATGCAGTTAGATGTATGTATTCAGTAGGGTGCATTCAGTGACCTAGGGGGACTAGGCAAGTCCCCTAAATGTTTCCCTGGTGCCTCAAAGTCCAAGAGGCTTTTGCTCAGTTTAGGAAAGGAGGTGCAATGCTCATGCGCCGGATCACGCAAAAGACACCCCCCCCCGTCCTCACAAGCTGTCGCCTATGGCCCTAACTGTTCCCCTATGAAAAATTTCACCGCACACCACTGTATGTATCAAATGTATAGTATATACAATTTGTCAACAGTGCAGCAGGGGGGAAAAAGCTAATGCAGTTCTAGGCTGCATCAACAGAAGTCTAGTGTCCAGATCAAGGGGAGTAATACTCCCGCTCTAAACTGCCTCGGTCAGACCACACTTGGAATACTGTGTCCAATTCTGTGCACCACAATTTAAGAAGGATGTTGACAAGCTGGAAGGTGTGCAGAGGAGGGCGACCAAGATGATCAAGAGTCTGGAAACCAAGCCTTATGAGGAATGGTTGAAGGAACTGGAAGGGCCATCTTACCTCTAGGTGCTAGGGGTGTGGGGCACCCGGGCGCCGGGCTCTCAGGGGTGCCAGGCCGAGAGTCTGGGGCCCGAGAGTTGAATCCGGGGAAGAGCCTGTCTGCTGGTTAGAGCGCTGCGGCGGGCTCTTTTGCTGCGGGTGGCTCTGCAATGTGAGTTCGGGGCCGGCTCCACCCTCCTCGCGCCTGGGACTGGGCAACCGGGGGGCGGGGCGCCGGGCAGATCTTTGCACCCTGGCACCGCATGTGCTTAAGACAGCCCTGGGAACTGGGTATGTTTAGCCTGTAAAAGAGGAGGCTGAGGGGGGATATGCTAGCCATCTTCAAATAGCTTAAGGCTGTCACATGGAAGAGGGAATAAGCTTATTTTCTCCTGCTCTGGAGGGTAAGACCCGAACCAGTGGCTCCAAGTTACATGAAAGGAGATTCCGGAAGAACTTTCTGGCAGTAAGAGCTGTTTGACAGTGGAATGGGTCTCCCTCGGAAAGCGGTGGACTCCCCTTCCTTGGAGGTTTCAGGCAGAGGTTGGGTGGCCATCTGCCATGGATGCTTTTGCTGAGATTCCTGCATTGCAGGGGGTTGGACTAGATGACCCTTGGGTTCCCTTCCAACTTTACAATTCTATAATTCTATTTTTTTCATATGATTGTGAAAATAATTAGTTAGGCTTTTTATTTTATTTTAAACAAACACACCCCACCAATGCGTGAGTGGCTCAGACATAAGCAATTCAGCGACAGAGGCAGTTTGATGTGGGCAAAGCTCAATTGGGACTGCAAAATTCAATGTATAAATCCATTTAAAGCAGATTCCTCCTCCAGCCCTAATATAAACGTCCCTCTGGATTTGTAAGCAATTGCTCTCCGCCTGCATATGGTACAACTGTGCATAGTTTGAATGGAGAGGTGTAGTGTGTACATCCCTCTAGCTTACTCTGTGAATGTCCATCTAGCCTAGCAGTTAGAGCAGAGTTAGGCAATGTGGTGCCTTCCATATGTTGCGAACTACATCACCCATTGGCTGCAACCAGCATGGTTTATGCTAGGGAATCATGGGAGTTGTAGTCCAAAACATCTTGAGAGCACCACCTTGCTGGAGCTTAACTCTAGGGAAGCAGAGATTCAGAATCAAATCCCCACTCAGCCATGAAGCTCACTGGGTGACCTTGAGCTTATCATTCTCGCTGTGCTAGTCTCAGGGGCTAACCGAGAGGCGAGGTCTGAGTCTGGTCCGAGGTTGATGGTGTGGTATGGAGGCTGTCCGTCAAAGCTGTAGCTGGGTCCAAGGCGGGGAGACAGGTGAGGTCAGGAACTCTGGCAGAAGAGCAGGACAGGGTGCAGGCAGGAACAGGCTAGCAACAACGTTGCTCCCGCAACCTGGGACTGGGGCTGGCTGGCTTTTATCTGCCCCGAGGCATAGGGCGGCCCCAGTCCACAGGTGACTCGCCTCTCTTGGCCTGGAGGTGAGCACTCCTCCTGTGGGAACTTAGTTCCCTCCGCCTCTCTGCCCTGAGCCTCTGCAGCTCAGGAGAGGCTGGAGGGTTACCTGACCCAGAGGCAATCTCCTCTCCCCCCTGATGGGGCTGAGAGTGGAGCACCTGCAGGCAATGGGTTCTCCATCACCTCAGGAGCCAGAGCAGACTCAGCTGGTGCCTGCACCTGAGGATCCAGCACAGGTGAGGACCCTTCATGCTGAGGCCCCAGTTGGTTCTGGAGGCAGAGACTCCTGTGCAGGCTGGGATTCCTCAGGTTCAGCCTCTGAGTCCGAATCCCAGGCCATCACACTCGCCAAGCCTGGCCTACCTCACAAGGTTGTTGCGGGTATAAAATGAGCACATGGCAGAACCATGTAAGTCACTTTGAGTTCCATGGAGGACAGACTAGATTTTATTTTTTAAGGTAATAAATAAACACAGGTGGAAATGTGCAGCCACATTAGATGCTTTAGACCAGGGGTCGGCAACCTAAAGCCCATGGGCCGCAAGTAGCCCATGGGGGTCGTTTAACTGGCCACTGGACGCCTGCTGCCCGCTCGGTCGGCTCCCATGCGCTGCGCTAAACCAGAGCAGAGCAGGGACCGCCTTCTGCGATGCTGGCTGGCTTCCCATTGGCTGCGGGAAGCTCCTGCAGCCAATGGGAAGCTGTGCATGCCTCCTTCATGCCGGAAGGAGCACCAAAAATAGCATTTGCGCATTTGCGCATGCACGTGTGCACATTCCGGCCCACTGCGGTGTCTGTGGGACCGTGAACTGGCCCAAGCCACAAAGACTTTGCTGACCCCTGCTTTAGACCGCTAATCCCACATCTCCGTCTAGGTGGGCCCCATTTTATTTTATCTTTGAAAGCCCTCTGCCTTATGATTCATTTATATGGGAATTGTATTCCCATTATTCATCTTTTATTACGGTATAATTACGGTGAGTTTTAAAAGAATATATATATATAGAGAGAGAGAGAGAGAGAGAGAGAGAGAGTGAGAGTTCCCTCCTCTCCAAGTGGATGTAGAGATAAGAATCATTCATGCCTCCCATTTAAATTTCTCCTTGTAATGTTCAAAGTTTAATAGATGTGGAGATTGGCATCTAAATGAGATTATAGGCGGGCGAACATGGAATTTTCATAAGAGGCAGAGGGGGGAGGAAGCCGTGGAGGAGAATGGTTATGCATTGGGATTATGTCCTTGTTCTCAATATCCTGGTTTGGACCAGAACCACCAGGCTCCGTGCTTACCCTCCAAGTCTACTTTTCCCAGCTGTTTTCTCTTGGGATAGACCTGTACAGTGGTACCTCGGAAGTCGAACGGAATACATTCCGGAAGTCCATTCGACTTCCAGAATGTTCGGAAACCAAGGTGTGGCTTTTGATTGGCTGCAGGAAGCTCCTGCAGCCAACCGGAAGCGCAGAAGCCATGTCTGATGTTCGGTTTCCAAAGAGCGTTCGCAAATCAGAACACTCACTTCTGTTAGGAGTTCAGCCTACACTCGAGTAGGACCCTGGCAGAGGCACATGCCCGACTGGCATGTTCTCTCCCTCCTGGTTGATTGTTCGGGAGCTTCAGAAACTTTCTTCATCCCGAACATCACAGCGACTGATGCCAACTAACATCGGCACACTTAGGGATCTGCAGAGTTTGCACAGCTTGCGTGACAGAACCCCAGCAACTCAGCATTTTGGCTAATCTACTTTATTTACATATAAACACACATGGAGCACTGCAACATGGCTCCCTCTCTCACTAGCATCAGACAGCAAAGAGAAAAAGAACAAAGGACAATAGTCCCACTTCACGGAACACAGTGACACAAATATCCTGTTTCCATCACTTCCCACTCTGTGGAGTCAAAACATACACCGTCGTGTGAAAGACAAAAATCCCATGACTGCAATCCTGGATCAAGAATTCTAACAACTTCCGGGTTTGCGGCGTTCGGGAGCCAAAACGTTTGACTTGCAAAGCGTTCGGGATCCAAGATACGACTGTACTTCATACCTGAACTGGTTTAGCTGTCATTTCATCTCCCTGGGAATGTGGTTTGTTGAGGGTAAATCTGTGCATCTAGGGATCTTTAACAAAAGCCCAATTTTCAGCAGCATACCTTTCAAACTGTACCATACCACTTTAGATAGTCCTGGCTTCCAGGATTCCAAAGTATCCTGGAAACTGGAGTTTTATCAAGGATTCTGGGAGTTTTTAGGAGACCTCTGTCCCCCTCTCAAAGCTATCATTCTCAGAGTGGTTTAGCAACCAATCCCTCTTCCCGGAGACCTCTGAGAATTGCGGCTCTCTCAGCCAATGGCCAGGGGATGATGGGAGTTGTAGTTCAACAGCTTTAGGGGAACCAAGGTTGAATTATTTTCTGTACAAACCCAACTCTGCTCTCCAAATCCTAAATGGCTTGGGGCCCAAGTACCTGGCAGTCCTCATCCCCCAATGCAAGCTGGTCCCTTGTGTTGAGATCAGCTAGGGAGGCCTTGCTTGTGGGGTTACGAATTGGGGTGGCTTGGTGGGTGGCGATGGAGGCAGGGCCTTCTCTGTGGTAGCTCCCAGGCTTTGGAACTCCCTCTCTGGGGAAATGAATACCCTCCAAGTGCCCTGATTTTCCAGGGACAGTTCCAGAATTATGAATTCTTGGAAAGTGGGCGAGGAGGAGGAGAGGCTGCCATCACTGCATGATGAGGCCTGGGTGGGGGAAAGGGGGGAATAGAATGGACTGCAAGGGGTCTTGATATTACTTTTTCTTTTAAATGCTTTGTGTGCCTGCATCTAATCTAGCTCCTTTATAAAATTTATTTATTGGGGGTGTGCTTTCCTTTTTGTCAATCTACCAAGGAATAGAATAGAACAGAACAGAACAGAACAGAACAGAACAGAACAGAACAGAATAGAATAGAATAGAATAGAATAGAATAGAATAGAATAAATAAAATCGGGATTAAGCAGTGTTCTTAGGACAGTGAAAGGCTGTGCTGTGTCTTGTTGGTGCCACGGTGGTGGTGCTTATCCTTATTCTGATAGAAAATGACCTGCGTGGGGGGGGGGGGAAGGACAAAAAATGGGGAGGGGGGTCGAGGAGGGTCAGTTGGGGCCAGGAAGGAGAAATGTTCCTGTTTTCATCTGAGGAATGCTGGAGGTTTTCTGTTTTTTAAAAAATTGTGATTTTATGTTGTGAACCACCCTGAGATCTATGCAGATAGGGCGGTATACAAATTTAATAAATTTAAAAAATAATAAGTTGAAGACTGATACAGTAGTACCTCTGGTTGCGAACAGGATCTGTTCTGGAGGCCCGTTCGCAACATGAAAAGATTCGCCGCTTCTGCACATGCATGTGACGTCATTTTGCGCATCTGGGCATACATGAGTGATGAAACCCGGAAGTAACCCGGGACGTAACCTGAAAGAATGCAACATGAAGCGGATGTAACATGAGGTATGACTGTATATATTCATCCGGGCCTTTGGGAATTACTTGCTCAGTGACCCAAAAGTTCTATGAGTGGGGCTGTGGTGTTAAAAGATTGTTTCTTGATTTTATAAAAAGGTAAAGGTAAAGGACCCCTGACAGTTAAGTCCAGTCACATATGACTCTGGGGTTGCGGCGCTCATCTCGCTTTACAGTCCAAGGGAGCCGGTGTTTGTCCGCAGACAGTTTTTCCGGGTCATGTGGCCAGCATGACTTAGCTGCTTCTGGCACAATGGAACACCGAAACCAGAGCAGCACATGGAAACGCCATTTACCTTCCTGTCAGAGTGGTACCTATTTATCTACTTGCACTTTTTGGCGTGCTTTTGAACGGCTAGGTTGGCAAGAGCTGGGACCGAGCAACAGGAGCTCACCCCGTCGCAGGGATTCGAACTGCCGACCTTCTGATCGGCAAGCCCAAGTGGCTCAGTGGTTTAGACCACTTGATTTTATACGGTGCTGTAAATTTAATTCTGTGCTGTCAGTGTTTAATTGTTCTTCTTAATGGTTTCATTATGCTGCATACAACTCTGGTTTCCCAATTAGGTGAAAAAGTGGCAATAATTTAAAAAATACAAATAAATAAATTCCCGCCTACCTTCTTTGATTCCGGGGTGCTATAGCCTCGCCAGCACTGGAGCCTGATCCTGACAGTCTCTTGATTTTCCTGCCATGATCCTGTAGTGAATGGAGAACAGATACTCACAATGCCTTATGAATAAATGAAGTTTCTGGGTGATTTGAAAGCAATGAGCAGCCGCTAGACGATTTTTTTTTTATTTTTTATCACTGCCTTCAGCTTTCTGCTCTCTGTTTGTTGCACTGGTGCATTGTATCTTGTTCCTATTAAGACTGAACTAGTCATCAAGCCATACATTGCAAGCAACCATAAAAAAGAGCTCTGGATTTTACTGCCCTTTCTGCATTGGACATATGGGCTGCTTATAGTAATATATATGTTCAAATTCAGATTGATGGATTACTCTTATTGTTATTGTGAGGAGCTAATGCCTTTTCTTTTCTTTTCTATATAATAATCCTGAGATGTTAATTTTCAGGACTCACCCTGTTCTTGAGACTGTATTATGTTTTAACTGTAAAGGTAAAGGTAAAGGGACCCCTGACCATTAGGTCCAGTCGTGGCTGACTCTGGGGTTGCGGCGCTCCTCTCGCTTTATTGGCCGAGGGAGCCGGCGTACAGCTTCTGGGTCATGTGGCCAGCATCTGGCGAACCAGAGCAGCACATGGAAACGCCGTTTACCTTTCCGCTGGAGCGGTACCTATTTATCAATTTGCACTTTGACGTGCTTTCGAACTGCTAGGTTGGCAGGAGCAGGGACCGAGCAACGGGAGCTCACCCCATCACGGGGATTCGAACCGCTGACCTTCTGAACGGCAAACCATAGGCTCTGTGGTTTAACCTACAGCGCCATCCGCATCCCATATGTTTTAACTGTATTCAATTCCAAATTTTAAATTGTTATAATTCTGAACTCTAAATTGATGCTCTTAGTTGAACATCCATTCTGATCTGTTTGTGGGGAGGTTATACAACAATGAACATGCACCCAGCATTTGTACTTGATTTGCTTTTAGGGTGTTATATTTCTTCCTGTTGATCGCTGGTTCATTCCACACTTTTCAGTGCAATTCCTCACCACTTCCCTAACTGCTAGAAAACAATTACAGTACTTTTAAAAGTTGATTGTTGAACTGAAGTAGCAGAGCATTTAAATTCACTTTAATTGCCAAACCTAAATTTCCCAAAGTGTGCTTGAAATTACTTCCTCCTGCAAAAGAGCGAGTGTGGAGGTGATCTAAGCGAGAGAGACGGCTTCATATCTGTAGTCAGAACAAAAGTTATCAGAAGTTCTTTAACAGTGCAAAGCACAGAAAGGCAAACTTTTTTTTTATTAAAAAAAATCATACTCTTTTTTTTTTTTGTCTTGCCAGGAAAAAGGTGATGATCATTAAGTCAGATGATCCCATTTGCCACTGGTGAGGAAAAGGGATTTAGTGAAGCAGGACACCTCATCTTTCATTGAAAACAGCAGAAGGTCATCTCCATATTTAAGCATTTAAGAAGACTCTCTATATTCAGTCCCTATGTCTATATTAATAAAGGTGAAAAGTAAAAGATGAGACCATGAGAGGCTGTCAAGATATATATATAGGCAAAATAATTTCAGACCGGGATCATTAAGGAGAGAAAAGGAAGTTGAAAAATGAAGGCAGGAATCAAGGGATCAGTTTCGCATCTTGATGATGTCACACATCAGAGGGGGGTCAAAGGCTCAAAAGTAGCTGTTCAGAAGCAAAAAATGGGAGTTAGGGGAAGGGCTGTAGCTCAGCAGGAGAACAGTTGCTTTGTATGCAGAAGGTCCACCGGGACCATATAACACTGCGAGATCTGCATTGGCTCCCAGTATGTTTCCGAGCACAATTCAAAGTGTTGGTGCTGACCTTCAAAGCCCTAAACAGCCTCGGCCCAGTAGACCTGAAGGAGCATCTCCACCCCCATCATTCCGCCCGGAGACTGAGATCCAGCGCCGAGGGCCTTCTGGTGGTTCCCTCATTGCAAGAAGTGATGTTACAGGGAACCAGACAGAGGGCCTTCTCTGTAGTGGCACCCGCCCTGTGGAACACCCTCCCTTCAGATGTCAAGGAAATAAGCAGCTACCCTATTTTTAAAGGACGTCTGAAGGCAGCCCTGTTTAGGGAAGTTTACCATATTTAATGCTGTATTGTTTTTAACACTCGATTGGGAGCCGCCCAGAGTGGCTGGGGAAACTCAGTCAGATGGGCCGGGTATAAATAATAAATTATTATATTATTATTCCAAGTTCAAGCCCTAGAATCTCCAGGTAGGGCTAGGAATGTCCATTGTTTGAAACCCCAGAGAGATGCTACCATTCAGTGTAGATAATTCTGAGCTGGACGGACCATGGCTTGACTCAGCACAAGGCAGTTCATGTCACAGTCTGGTTGGATGCAGAGGAACGGTAGGAAGAACCAGCTGGGGAACCACCAAGGCAAGAAGGCTCAAAGCCCAGGAAGTGGTGGTGGTGACTTCATCTTCAGGGTCATGGGCAGAGGATTAATAATAATAATAATAATAATAATAATATTTTTTTATATATATCCCACCCTCCCCAGCTGAAGCCGGGCTCAGAGCGGCTAACAACAGTAAAATAATACAGCATTCTAAAATCAATTCATTATAAAATCAGTTCAAATCAAATTGATGGCAACCATTTGGCTAGAGTTCTGTGAAGAATTACCAAAGGCCTGGTGGAACAGCTCTGTCTTGCAGGCCCTGCGGAAAGATGTCAAGTCCCGCAGGGCCCTAGTCTCTTGTGACAGAGCGTTCCACCAGATTGGGGCCAAGGCTGAAAAAGCCCTGGCTCTGGTTGAGGCCAGCCTAACCTCTCTGTGGCCCGGGACCTCCAAGATGTTTTTATTTGAAGACCGTAAGGTCCTCCGTGGGACATACCAGGTGAGGCGGTCCCGTAGGTACGAGGGTCCTAGGCCGTAAAGGGCTTTAAAGGTTAAAACCAGCACCTTAAACCTGATCCTGTACTCCACCAGGAGCCAGTGCAGCTGGTATAGCACTTGGTGAATGTGATCTCGCAGCGAGGACCCCGTAAAGAGTCTCACCACAGCATTCTGCACCCGCTGGAGTTTCTGGGTCAGTCTCAAGGGCAGCCCCACGTAGAGCGAGTTACAATAATCCAGGCTGAAGGGGACCGTCGTGTGGATCACAGTGGCTAGGTTAGACAAATTCATGGAGGAGAATAAAGCTATTGATGGCTGCTAGTCATGATGGCTATGCTCTACCTCCACAGCTGGAAGCAGTGATGCTTCTGAATACCTGTTGCTGGAAACCAAAGGACGGGAGAGGGCTCTTGTGCTCATGTCTCGCTCGCAGGTTTCTCCTGGGCACCTGGTTGGCCACTGTGAGAACAGGATCCTGGATCAGATGGGCCTTTGGCCTGATCCAGAAGGCTCTCCCTCTGTCTCTGGGAAGGGACTGGTTTGACACTACATTAAAAAAAACAAAACAGGAGAGCAGCTTGAAAAGTTTCAGCTCAGAGTTGTAATGGCCATTGCTCTTGGCATCGTTATTGCTGGCACCTGCCATGATTTCCTCTGGCAGCAGCGACAACGCACTGTACACCCCCTCAAGGACTTGGCACACCAACTAAAAGGAAGCAAATGTTGAACGCATCAGTTTCGCTGAGTTCCATCAAAAGGGCAGGACTCTTCTCTGACAGCTTTTGGATGCTGATACAGAAGCAGGATAAGGTTAGCCTTTTTTAAAAAAACAACAACAGCAAATTCCTCTTCTCCTTGGGTGATGCTTGTCTGTGCAGCATCTTTTTGTTATAATCAAATGAACTGAAAGCTGTGATGCATCCCAACCCAGCTGAATAAAGTGCAGATGGGTATTAATCAGGAGAGATAAAGCACCCAAAGCCACAGATCCTTTTGGTTTGTCATAAACAGCTTTGCTGCAGTATCTGAAAAAAATAATAATACACTAATAATCCTGTGCATTAGGTCTCAGCAAATTGCCATCCTGCTAATGCAGAACATTCCTCATTTTTGGAGAAGCTTGCCAAAAGCCAACACCTGTACACAGCAGGCAAATTCTGCCCCAAGGAACAGAGGGTTTTTTGGGGGGGGGTGAGATAATTGTATTACAGCACACCTTCATTTATCCAAAATACTTGGGGGATATACAGAATGTTCTGGTAATCAGATGTTGGGAAGCGGAAAAGTAGGAAGAACAGGAATGCTGTTGCAATGCCACCTAAGGTAAAGGTAAAGGTACCCCTGCCCGTACGGGCCAGTCGTGTCCGACTCTAGGGTTGTGCGCTCATCTCACTTAAGAGGCCGGGAGCCAGTGCTGTCCGGAGACACTTCCGGGTCACGTGGCCAGCGTGGACGGCTGCTCTGGCGAGCCAGCACCAGCGCAGCACACGGAAACACCGTTTACCTTCCCACTATAAAGCGGTACCTATTTATCTACTTGCACTTAGGGGTGCTTTTGAACTGCTAGGTGGGCAGGAGCTGGGACCGAATGACGGGAGCTCACCCCGCCACGGGGATTCGAACCGCTGACCATACGATCAGCAAGTCCTAGGCACTGAGGTTTTACCCACAGCGCCACCCGCGCCCCACCTCGCAATGCCACCTAGAGTTATGCAAAAGCAGAGGGTGGATGTTCAAAGCTAGGTGTTTCAGGTAACCAAAGTTCAGCTGCAAACACAGGACTGGATGGGAAATGGTGGCAACAGAGTCAAAAAATGTGAAAGATCAGAAGCCGGGAAGTTTTGTTTCAGCTTGGGGGCCATGTTCCCTTCTCAGTGAGCTTCTGAGGGCCATGTGCCAGTGGTGGGTGGGACCAGAGATAAAACTGGGCGGAGAAAAACATGCATCTTTTCCCTTGGCACAGTAGGCTTGCTTCTACACACACTCACACACCCCTCCCTGTCTTCCATCCGGACAATCAAGGTGCCATTCAGAGTTCAAGGACACCTTCTGGCTAGTTGAAAACTCTCAAGGAGGATATGAAATATGGTTGCTGAGGAATGTGACCTGTCAGGAGCAAGCCAGCAGTAAATCACATGGAGCAGATGAAGTTAACCCTTTATTAGAAAAAAAAACCAGGATCTGCTCAGGAGTGCCAGGCCTTTTTATTTATTTTTAAATTTATTTATTGTAAAATACAAACATATTGCGAATATACAAGCATACAAACACACATTTCATACAATCCTTAAATATATACAAACATACCTACATTCAGTCCCACAGATAATTCCTTTTCCCATCAACATCCACCACCCCTTACCCCACCTTTGTGTTAGACTTCCAGTCTACTCAGTTGCAATTTCTTTCCATTTCTATTACTTTCTTTCACACACCTTTAACCTAATTTCATGCTTCTTTTTCTATTACACATTGTTATCCATCTTATTTAGTATTTCAGTGTTCAGTATTTAGTGCCAGGCCTAATGAGCACAGTATCTCTTCTTTGGTAGATCTCACTCCTCCTCAGCTGAGGAGACTGAAGGTCCCTGGCTCCTCACATAAGTATTCTCCTCTCCCAGGTCTTTCCCAAGCGATCTGAGATTGCACTTGTGTGTTTGCCTTTGCTCCTCCCACTTCATGCCTCTTCTGGCTCTGGGAGAATGGGAGGGGGAGGTGTCAGGCTTCAGGGAATCGGCTCCCTCACCCTGTGGCAGTAGATAAGCAGGAAAAGGAGTTGTCTTACCAGTTCGCAACTTTAATAATCACAGAGAACAAAGAACACATCACCTAGAAATGGCAGTGTTCCCAATTAAGGATTTACACCCCCTTTCGTCCCTATTCATCTACGTCACTCCTACATCTTGTAATCTGAGCTTGTACCCTCTGTGCTTTCTGTTCTGCCACTTTCTGAGTTCTCTGTGACTTTGGAGAATGCTGTCCAGAGACGGTGAATCTGTTAACTCTCTCTCTTCCAGTGTTTCTTCTCCTTGCTGTTCCCCATCCAGTATTTCCCAGCTTCTGCCTTCTGAACTATGGCCCTCTGCAAACCACTGTTCCAAATCTATACTGTCCTCCTGCTCCTGGGAAGATTCAGGATCCAGATCAGGAGGAGGGGGAGGCTTCTACCATTCCTCCTCAGCATGGTCCCTGACAGGAGGGGAGCTTGTTGCAGCAGGAGGGTGGGACATCCGTGCTTCTTCACAAACATGACCAATCTCTGCCTCTTGGCCTCCATCCTCTCCTGCTTCTGCTTCTGCTTCTGGACAGATTCTATCACCGATTCTCCCAGCTCACAAAGCCCTGTTACCTCTTCCCAGTCTTCTCCCTCTTCTTCCTGCAACCACTAATCATTGTCCCACCACCACTCCCCAGGTTCTAAGCCTTCTTCCCTTGGTGGTTCCCCAGCTGGTTCTGCCCACCACTCCTCGGTGTCCAACCAGTCCATGACAGTGTGTGGCCAGGGGACACCAGGGCAAGAGGCCTGGGAAGCCACATTTTGCCCTAAGGGGTCAGCAAACTTTTCCAGCAGGGGGCTGGTCCACTGTCCCTAAGACATTGTGGGGGGCCGGAGTATATTTTTTGGGGAAAAATGAATAAATTCCTATGCCCCACCAATAACCCAGAGATGCATTTTAAATAAAAGCACACATTCTACTCATGTAAAAACATGATTCCTGGACCATCCGCGGGCCGGATTTAGAAGGTGAATGGGCTGGATCTGGCCCCCAGGCCTTAGTTTGCCTTGTTGTTGTTGTTTAGTAGTTTAGTCGTGTCCGACTCTTCGTGACCCCATGGACCAAAGCATGCCAGGCACTCCTTGAAGCTACCAGCATGAGTTTGACCAAACTGCGGGAGGCAGTGGAAGACAGGAGTGCCTGGCGTGCTTTGGTCCATGGGGTCACGAAGAGTCGGACATGACTAAACTACTAAACAACAACAAGGTCCAACCATCTCATTCTCTGTCATCCCCTTCTCCTCGTGCCCTCAGTCTTTCCCAACATCAGGGTCTTTTCCAGGGAGTCTTCTCTTCTCATGATGTGGCCAAAGTATTGGAGCCTCAGCTTCAGGATCTGTCCTTCCAGTGAGCACTCAGGGCTGATTTAGTTTGCCTACTCAAGCCCTAAGGCCTGAGGTTGCCCACCTTTGCCCAAGGTGTGCCTTCCAAAAGCTTCTGAAAAGCAAAGCCAGCCAGGTAATATTCCAATGGCGGTAACTTCTGCAAGGAAAGAGACATAAACAGTGTTTTTGATGCAGGCAAAGAAGCAAAAGAACAGAAACAAACAAAGAAGACTTTCATCTATTTTGATAAAAGCCACTTCCTTGCGACTTCTTTTTCATGCCCTCTTCCCCGCCCTCCTCTCTGTCCCGCAGGGATCAGCTGGCTGTTTTCTTCATAAATAGATCTTGGCGCTGACTCTAAAATGTCACTGCGAACAATGCAATGTCCCCAGCTGAACGGTCCGTGTGATGCGATCCTCAATAGTCGTTTTGTGTGAGCCTCTTGTGGCCCTCAGCGGCTGATAAAAATAGCAAAGAGTACAGGAAAGAGAAGTGGAGGGGTGGCAGGGAGGATTATTCCGTAAATAGATTGAACGGCCGTTAACCATTTAGCCTGGCAGCCGGCACATTTTGCTGAGTGGATGTGAAAGGCGCATCAGAGCACCACCAACATACCTTTGATTATGCTCTGCATTGCTATATCTCTGCCTGGAAGCCAGCCATTCTAAACGTGCTTAATTGCACACGGCACCCTCAGACAGATTTGGCAGACTGGTACAGCTTTATTTGCAGAGGAAAGTATGCGCTTCAATTTTATTTCAGGATGCGAATGAGATGGATTCCTAACTGGCTTTGTCTGGACCTTTTTGCTGGGTTAATTTCAGCACAACTCGAAGGCTCTCGTCTCAGATGCCCCACCACAAACCCTCCAGATGTCCCTGTTTTCCAGGGCCAGTCCCGGATTTACAGAATTTACTTGATCTCAGAATGTCCTGCTTTTCCTTAGGACATCCCTATTTTCACTGGAGAAATGCTAGAGGGTATGCAGTTATGCAACCTCCAAGCCAAGAAGATAAGGAACTATACAACCTTTAGAAGACATCTGAAGGCAGCCATGTGTAGGGAACTTTGTTTTCTTATGTTTAATGTTTTCTTATGTTTTTATATATGTTGGAAGCTGCTCAGAGTGGCTGGGGCAACCCACTCAGACGGGCAGGATATAAATAATAAGATTATTATTACAGTGGTACCTCGGGTTACATATGCTTCAGGTTACATACGCTTCAGATTACAGACTCTGCTAACCCAGAAATAGTGCTTCAGGTTAAGAACTTTGCTTCAGGATGAGAACAGAAATCGTGCTCCAGCGGCACGGCAGCAGCAGGAGGCCTCATTAGCAAAAGTGGTGCTTCAGGTTAAGAACAGTTTCAGGTTAAGAACGGACCTCCGGAACAAATTAAGTACTTAACCCGAGGTACCACTGTATTATTATTATTATTATGGAATAGATGTCCCTGTTTTCATCAGAAAATATGTCAGAGGGTATGCCACTAATTTCGAAGTGTAGGGCAGGGGTCAGTAAACTTTTTTTAGCAGGGGGCCGGTCCACTGTCGTTCAGACCTTGTGGGGGGCCGGACTATATTTTGGAAAAATAATAATAATGAATTCCTATGCCCCACAAATAACCCAGAGATGCATTTTAAATAAAAGGACACATTCTACGCATGTAAAATCACGCTGATTCCTGGATCGTCCACAGGCTGGATTTAGAAGGAGATTGGGCCGGATCTGCCCCCCCGGGCCTTAGTTTGCCTACCCATGGTGTAGGACTTGAACCAATGGATTCAAGCAGCAAGAAAGGTGATTCCAAACAAACACAGGAAGAACTTTCTGATGGTAAGAGCTGTTTGACAGTGCAACGAGCTCCCTCAAAAAGTGGTGAATTCTCCCTTTTTGGAGGCTTTTAGACATTGGTTGGATGGCCATCAGTCATGGATGCTTGAGATGAGATTCTTGCATTGCAAAGGGTTTGGACTAGGTGACTCTATGAGTACCTTCCAACTATCCAATACTATGATTCTTTGAATCCCAGATGCCATTCCATTATGGAATATTAACAAACAAATGCTTGCTGTGCGGAAATGAAAGTGTAGAAATTAAGGCCGGAGTTACATTAAGAGGTAAAAGGAAAACAAAGCACACGGCTACAGATGAAAGCCGTCAGTAATTGATTGGTCTCTAGATTGAGAATAATATTTACTAAGCGCTCAGGCAGGATGTCTTGCACAGCAGTGGCTAACCCCAAAGGTACTTCCTAACAGATTAAAGAAGACAGTTATTAAAATGGAGACACCTGGTGTCATTATAAGATCATTCGTGTGGAAGGTGGCTGCAGTGCTCCACGCAGCGAAGGGGAAATGGCTTATGCGAAATCAAAATGTCTCTGGTGCCTATTCTTCTTAGTTTGTGCAATTTGTGTGGGATGCATGCGGCGCCACTTCTCAGGCCCGTTCCTTTTGGCAGCGTGAAAGTCTGATCAGGCAGGAAGAGGAAGGCAAGGGCTAAGGAAGCAGGGCTATGGCAGGACGTAGGAAGTTTGTTTGCAGAGATGGTTGGGTCAAGGAGAGGAACTGTGTTCAAACACCAGGGTTGAGGACGCACACTTTCTGCTGGATTTGAAGAGTATAATATATTAGAAAAGGCCCAGTAATAATAAAAATAAAGAATTATTATTTATACCCCACCCATCTGGTTGGGTTTCTCCAGTCACTCTGGGCGGCTCCCAACAGAATATATAAAAAAGCAACAAAACATCAAACATTAAAAACTTCCCTAAACAGGGCTGCCTTCAAATGTTTTCTAAAAGTCAGGTACAGTGGTACCTCTGGATGCCCCGTTCCGGACCCCTGTTTGCATCCTGAAGTGAACGCAACCCGCGCATGCCCGTGACTTCATTTTGACCGTCTGTGCATGCACAAGCGGCGAAACCCGGAAGTAAGGCGGAGCGTAACCCAAAAATACTTAACATGAAGCTACTTCAATCCGAGGTATGACTGTAGTTGTTTACCTCCTTGACATCTGATGGGAGGGCATTCCACAGGGAGGGTGCCACTACTGAGAAACCCCTCTGCCTGGCTCCCTGTAACCTCACTTCTCACAGTGAGGGAACCACCAGAAGGCCCTCATCGCTGGACCTCAGTGTCATCGCTGAACAATGGGGGTGAAGACTGGGGGTGGAGAGAGGCCGAGGCCGTTTAGGGTGCTCTTCAACATATTTGGCATTTGTTTATAAAGATCTCTAAAGCTCTCAGTCAAATGAGGTATCTAAGCACCGTTCGTAATAACATTGTAGATAGCACAGCTAAAATCCACAGAACTATTATGAATACACAAATACATGTCTAGGGGCTGCTACCTCCACTCACATTGCTTGCCAACGAAACCCCACATCCACTTGCTAACCTACCAATAGGTGGTCACAAGAACTGCAACAGTACCACTTTCTTCCTTGCAAAAATTATTATATGGTAGGAAATACTTAGCACAGACACACAGGTTTTGTCGGCACCTGTCTGTCTTGAGAGACAATGGAGTGCGCCTCTGGGGGTGAAGTCAAACTGCTGTGGTAGCAGCACTGAAGTCACCTCCTCGGCAGTGTGTATGGATGTCCTGCGCTGCTCAGACAACAAGACTTTAGAGTTTTTAGGGGTTTTTTGAATGTTTTATGTAGTTTTGTAGTAGTTTTATGTAGTTTTGTAGTAGTTTTATGTAGTTTTGCAATTTCATTGTCCTGCATGGGACAATGACAATAAAGATATATCGTAAGACCTTCCCTCTAGGCCTCACTAATGTGGTCCAATGGGAAACACAGCAAGACGTTTGACATTTTTACAGCAACTCAGGTGAAACTTTTCCATGGCAGGTGTGGCGTTTGCCCTCCTATGTATGTGACATCATACTGGGTTCATAGGGAAAGGGTTAACTAATTGTAAAATGACTAATCAATGGGAACCCAGGGGGGCAGAGTTAACTGTATACAGTGGGACCTCAGGTTAAGTACTTAATTTGTTATGGAGGTCAGTTCTTAACCTGAAACTGTTCTTAACCTGAAGCACCACTTAGCTAATGGGGCCTCCCACTGCTGCTGCACTGCCGGAGCAGAATTTCTGTTCTCATCCTGAAGCAAAGTTCTTAACCCAAGGTAGTATTTCTGGGTTAGTGGAGTCTGTAACCTGAAGCGTATGTAACCTGAAGCGTATGTAACCCGAGGTACCACTGTATAAGGTTTAAGCACAGAGGCTTTTTTAGAGAGTAAGAGTTGTTTAGAAGACAGTCTGGAGTTAGAAGAGACAGAGAAGAGAAGTCTGTGGGTTGGGCTAGTCTGGTGTGAGAGAATTTGTTAAGAGGAGTCAGTCAAACACCTGAGATAATCAGTCAGAAGGTATTAGGAAGGTATAGGCCGGTAAAGAAACTAAAGTTAAGATACTGACAGGAATATTATCTTAGAAACCATAAACTTGTTAATGTTTGTAAAATAAACTTGTGGTTTTTTTTGGTTCACTTTTAACAACTGACTGGACTCGGTGTTTTACTAGAGAGTAACTGGTTGGTGGCAGTGGGGAAGCGAGCACAATGGTGGCACAGGGATCAATAGACCGTTAAACATCTGGGGACCCTGTGTGATCGCCACAGCAGGTAAATAGGATCACTGCTTAAAAGCCGCACATCAAGCTGCTGTTGAGGGCACTGGAGCAGTGCTGGTAAAAAAAAAGTTGGCAACCCTTAATGGGCTTTGAAGTGCACTGATTGCTCCACTCACTTACAGTCAAGAGCTTGCACCAGTTTAAAATCCGCTGGGCTCAGCTCAGCCTGCCGGGTCCCAGCTGAATGGGAATGGAGGAGATAAATTGGTGTATCTCTGGATGGGTGGAGGATGATTGCACAAGGAACATGTCAGCTCAGGGAGAAATCTGCTGGATCCTAACCCACCCACCATAGCTGCCAACTTACAGATTTGAAAATAAGGGACCAGCAGCCTCGAAAATAAGGGATCAGCAGCCAAAATAAGGGATTTTAGTCAACCAGCTGAAATACAAAGTTAAAAGGGACCAGACAATTTTGGAGAGCAGCGCTGGTTTTTAGCCCTTCGTTTCCAGAGGTTGCTGCTCAAGACACCAGCTGATGAAACACTGCAATTAAATAACTACAAGCAGCAGCCAAGCAACACAGTTGGAGCCTCCCTCCTCTCTGGCTGGCAGGGAGGGAGGGAGGGAGAGGAGCTGCTTCCTTTGAAACCCGGGAAATTTAAGGGACATCATCAATAAGGGACAGCAGAGGGACACAGTGCTGGGATAAGGGAGTTTCCCACCAAGTAAGGGACGGTTGACAGCTATGCCACCCACCCCAGCAGAGCTTGCTATAGGATCTTCAGCCTGTTCCATCTTTGCTACTGTATGATGTCACGTTGAAACCTTCTTGATTTATTCTAGGCCCCCATGGTCATTTCGATCTCTCTCCTTTCCCATCTGCTTTGAAAAGCACAGCCGTTAATGGCAGAGCTCAGCAGACAAGCAAACAACAACACTTTATTGGAAGCTGTAATCAATTCAGAGCAGTTAATCCGGCCACTCATTGCTTTCTAATACAGGTATGATAAATTAAATAAACGGCAAACAATTCTCCAGCAGTGGAAAAGGTGAAACAGCACGTGCTCGACAGATGCAACTTCTCTGCTTTCACATACCTGAATGCTAGGCAAGATTTGACTTGCTTTCCAGCGATTACGGGAATTTGTCACCCTAATGCTGTCTGGCACAGTCAACCGACCACCCTTGCAAATTGGGCTGATCGGCTGAATTTGTTGAGCAAGGCTGGAGTGCATAAATTTATGCTGATAATATACTAAACCAGCCGCATGGGCCCTAATGAATTGATCGGAATGCAGATAAAACATAAAAGCAGCAAGTGACTGGAATTTCAATACTTGTTACCGAAACGGCAAGTACATTTTTTTTTTAAAAAAATAAAATAAAACCGTGAAGCCTCTCAAAAGGACTGAATGGTGTTATCAGCGCAAGTTGATGCATTTGAGACTCAGAGGCAAATCCCATGCAGTTCAATAGACCTTGCACCCAGGGTGTTGCATGGGGTCGCAGCCTTCTTTGAGGTGAGGATCAGCGTGAAATGTCGAGGTTTGCACAGAGGCACTGTTTGTTGCATGTCACCCCGGTCTCTGAGTAGCAACAGACCACAAGGGTTCCAGCAGAGACTGAGGATAGGATAGAAGGGCTCACAACATTCACACTTGAAGAGAGCTTGCATTCCTGTTAGGTTTCTAGGGAAGCCCCAAGCCATAGCTCTGAGTCCAACATGGAGCAAGACCAGCCTCTGTATCTCTGGCTTCCAGCATACCCTCCAACTTTTCTCTGATAAAAATAGGGACGTCCTATTCAACAACAACAACAACATCTGACTAGGTTGCCCCAGCCCTCTGGGCAACTTCCAACATATATAAAAACATAATAAAACATTAAACATTTTTTAAAAATATTCCTAATAATAATAATAATAATTTATTATTATTTCTACCCCGCCCATCTGGCTGGGTTTCCCTAGCCACTCTGGGCGGCTTCCAAACGAATATTAAAAGCAATACAGCATCAGACATTAAAAACTTCCAAAAACAGTTGTCTTTTAAAAGTAAAATAGTTGTTTATTGCCTTGACATCTGATGGGAGGGCGTTCCAAAGGGTAGGCGCCACTACCAAGAAGGCCCTCTGCCTGGTTGCCTGCAACCTCACTTCTCGCAGCGAGGGAACTGCCAGAAGGCCCTCGGCACTGGACCTCAGTGTCTGGGCTGGATGATGGGGGTAGAGATGTCTTCAGATGTCTTCTGAAGGTTGTATAGTTACTTATCTCCTTGGCTCAGGGGTTGCATAGCTCCACACCCTCCAACATTTCTCTGATGAAAATAGCAACGTCCTAAGGAAAAGCGGAACATGTGTGGCATCAGAAACTGGGAAGGCTTCTGTAAATCCTGGATTGTCCCTGGAAAATAGGGACACTTGAAGAGTCTGTAAACCTGTCCTATTATTCTGTTCCACTTTCTGAGATGGGTGGGGTGGGATCAGGGGAGCTGTGGTTTCATGCCATCAATGGCCCTTCACTCTCTGCTGGAGGGGGGCATCATTACCAGCCCACTGCTCCCCCTACTTGACCTTATTTCCATCCTGGTTAAGTGTAGCGCTGTTGAGCAGAGTGGGTGATCCTGCACGGGGCGGCATCAGTCAGGAAAGAAACTGGACCTAGCTTCTCCTGGAAGACACCACCAGTGATCAGAGGAGGGTCCTGCCTTTTGCGTGTTCAGATCCAGAAACCTCCCCCCTAAATAAATTCACACTTGACTCAAATTTTGGTTTTGGTTTTTGGCAGAATTTAGGCCACAACTTTATTGATTACAGAAAGTGACTGGTTGCATAGGCTAGCTCCCTGCCATGCAGGTAGCGCTGACCCAGGGTTCCAGCATAGGTCAGCCAAGGGTGAACACCTGGATAAGTGGAAAGCCGGGAACAGGCTATCTGCACCACCCAAATGCCCCCCTGGACTCAGGCAGGGGGCACAACCCCCTCTCAGGGGTTGACCAAACCATCGAATCCCTGGATTCCTTTAACGGAATACCCTTCACATAGGGATGGCAAGAGCGTTCTCCTATCACCTGAACCAGAGCCTATCCGCAACCTTACAAGTTGTGACGACTTGCTACGCGGCAGGCGAAACGCAAATGACAACAGCCCATCAGCCAAGTGGGGAAAATTCCTGCTGTGCCCCTGTCCCAATGACAGACGACACACAACAGCATAGCAAGGTCAAGCGCAAAGCCCTAAAAAGAGGGAGAGGTGGGCAGGTGTTCTGAATGCATGCGCCGAAAGAGGAAGCTCTGGGTCACGTGCATGGGCATAAATAGGTCCCTTGAACTGTTTGGACTGTGTCCCATTGGCCAGATTGCACCCAGCTTTGAGGGGCCTACCAATTGGGTATTGTGGCTGACCAATCATACCCACCCATAACACAGGGTGTCGGTTTCCAGGTCTCACCGCAATACATGCCCTCTTTAAGGGAGGACCCGATTTCTGCAGGGTTTTCCTTCTCCATCTGATGCTGGCAGGTGTGGGTTGCTCTGGGATATCCAGCCTGATCATGGCTGTCTGAACCCAACTCATTGCGTAGCAAGGCCCCCCCCCCCCGGAAGTGGAATAAAGACACATGAAACAGTATTTTAGGTTAATGGGCGAAAAAGGCCACAACTTTATTGGTTACAGAACGTGAGTGGTATTGGCTTAGGCATTGGAAACCACACGACTATATCTGACTTCTGCTCATCTGCAGGAATCTTGGAAGGGTTAACCACCAGAATGGGGAGCCCTGCTAATGCACATCAACTAGGAACTCCCCCAGGGTCACTGCTAGGGGGCGTGTCATGGCCCTAGCCCCGCACCTGGGGCTTCGGACAGGGACCACGCCCCTCAGATTCCTTTAATGCAGCCTTTCTCAACCTGTGGGTCCCCAGATGTTGTTGGACTACAACTCCCACCATCCCTGAGCTCTGGCCTTGCAAGCTAGGGGTGATGGGAGTTGTAGTTCAACAACATCTGGGGACCCACAGGTTGAGAAAGGCTGCTTTAATGGAATACCCTTCAAATAGGAGGGGTAGGTGATGGTCACCACCTCCCCTCACCTTCAACCTAATACTCCAATGACCATGGCTGTCTGAACCCAACTCATCCAACACCCAAGCCCCTCTAAATAGGCCCAATTTGGTTTGGGCCTTGGTTGAATCCAGTGCACAGCCTTCAGTATGATTCAGCTCCTCTTACCTGCAGTGCCGAAATAAATAAATAAGCTTGACTCCATCCTGCAGAGCTTGTTCCTCAATCCACAGCTGAAAGCAAAGCAAGCCAGCATTCTAGAAAAAGAAGAAAGAACTGATTTTTTTGTTCCGTTAATTTATTCAACTGTGATGGCGCTGAACCATTTCCCATTATTCCTCCCCTTTCAGAATCATTATAGGAAAAGTGGATGGAACCTAATTAAAACATCACTATAAAAAGCTATAAGTGATCATGAATAAAGAGATATTCATGGGAAAGAGAGGTGGTGGTGGTGGGGAGAAATATATATATTTGCTTGTGCTGGGGGTACTTCCCCCTCCCTGTCTTTCTTCTCTGATGGGCTGGTGTAAAAGAATCAGGCGATCAGAACTGAAAAGCAAAAGTGATTTTGAGCTGGAGCTCAAAGGAGCCCTGCATCCGAAATGCATTTTGGTGCATGTGAAATTTGATTTATTCAAGGTCAAGACTTCTGCAAGGCTTCTTTCAGACGTGTGGCAAAAAGGGGAAACGGATAGGAGACTGCGCTCCTCTAAGGGCAAGCTCAAACATTTCCTTTTCCCTACTCTAGTGCCGTCTGCTTCCAACAGCCAGCGCAGGCACTCATAGCTGATGAGCCTCTTTCTACTCATCACTTCCCTCATATTCTTAGCAAGCAGCAGGTCATTCCTGCTTTCTCCCCTGCAAGCCCTCTGACCCCTGACCAAAATTACAGAGGCCTGCCCCAACTCTCAGCAGTAGCATCTAAACACAGGGAGGCCTGGGTAACCAACACCACTTTCCTTTCACCCACGGGGCCAGTGGTCCTTGGAAGCACCAGGGCAAGGGTGTGTTGTGGGACTCAGCCTCCAGAAGGTCCTATCATTTAGGGTGACCTTCCTCAACTTGAAGGCTCCGAAATGGTTTTGACTACAGCTCCCATCATCTTTGATCGTCGTCCTGGATACTGAGCAGATATTGCTGGAGGGAGTGGACCAAAGCAATACAGTGGTACCTCGGGTTGCATATGCTTCAGGTTACATATGCTTCAGGTTATAGACTACGCTACCCCAGAAATAGTACCTCGGGTTAAGAACTTTGCTTCAGGGTGAGAACAGAAATCGTGCAGCGGCGGCGCAGCGGCAGCAAGAGGCCTCATTAGCTAAAGTGGTGCTTCAGGTTAAGAACAGTTTCAGGTTAAGAACAGACCTCCAGAACAAATTAAGTTCTTAACCCGAGGTACCACTGTATAGACCAGGCAACCTGAGATGGAGAATTGCTGTACAGTCATACCTTGGATCCCGAAAACCGAAAACCTGGAAGTGAGTGTTCCAGTTTGCAAACGTTCTTTGGAACCCGAACGTCTGACCCCCGCTTCCGTGGCTTCCAACTGAGTTCAGGAAGCTCCTGCAGCCAATCGAAAGCCACACCTTGGTTGTCGAATGTTTTCGGAAGTTGAAAGGGCTTCCGGAACTGATTCCATTTGACAACCAAGGTACGACTGTATAGACTTGCAAAAAAATGCAAAGACACTGTTAGCGCCATCACTGACATTTACCCAGCACCATGTCAGGATGGTGTCAGCGGCTGCTAGCTGGTTGCCCAGGAAAGTATAAAGACAAGGAAAAGTTTCTTACAGTCCTTTTTTATTTCAGTGTTCACAGAGAGAGGCTATAGAACCCAGCCTCTTGGATAATGGCGTTGTCCCGAATGAATCTTCACTCCCCGTCTCTCCCACTTCCTCATTCATCACTTCTACGGGTGCTGTTACATGCCCTCCATCTTTGAGCCCTTTGCTCTCCTACTTTTAAGGCTCGCCGGGCTCTGGGAGATGGAGGCTCTGGAATGCTTTCTAATGACAACGTGTCAGCTGGGTATTGCTCTGGCTCTCCCATGATTTCCCAGCTTTCCCCCTCAGCCTCCCTCAGCCTCCTGTTGTAAATCTATACTGTCTTCCTCTTCCTCCTCCACGGAAGGGTCAGGATGGCAGGCGGTCTCCACCATTCCTCCTCTGCCCAGTCCCTGATGCACCATCAGTATCATGGCTCTTTATAAAGATGGCAGGACTCCGTTCCACTGAACTTACCGTCTAAACTTCCAAATGATGGAGATGACAAAGTGAGGGGGAAAATATATGGGTGCAGGAAGATTCTACAAAGAGGATTCTTTAGGGTAGGACTATCTTTTTTTGAAAAATGCTTTTTATTAAGTTTGCATTTCCAATACACCAACAAAATACACAAATATTTCAATTTTTTTTACACCTGTCTTACTTTATGCTCCGTAGAGCAGGTGACTTCCCTCCTTCCCTTCCACAAGGTTTTTTTATTCCAATCACTAATCCACAGTTCCTTAATAATAACTAAACCATGAGATAAGATTTATTTCAGTCCTGCTAACGTCTTCAAATTTCTACAGTTCTCACTTATATAGACCATAAATTTACTCCATTCTTTTTGGTACTTTGTTTCCTCCTGACTACGAATCCTGTGGGTCAGTTTTGCCAATTCCACGTACTCGACCAACTTTGTCTGCCACTCCTTCACAGTTGGTATCTCCTGTGTTTTCCATTTTTGGGCTATCAAAACTCTGGCAGCTGTTGTAGCATACATATATAATCTTTGGTCCATCTTAATATCCTCTCCTATCAAACCTAGCAGTAGTTCTTCAGGCTTTTTTGGGAATGCACATTTAAGCATCTTTTTAAATTCATTATAGATCAATTCCCAAAACTCTTTCATTTTATCACATGTCCACCACATGTGGTAAAAATCCTATTTAGGGTAGGGCTATCAGTGGCTACTAGCCACAATAGCTGTGTTCCACTGCCTGAGTTTCTGTGCCTCTGAAGACCAGTTACTGGAGAATTGCAGATTGGAGGAGAGTTGTTATGCTCAAGCCCTGTTCGTGGGCTTCCCATTATTAGAGTATCTGGCCTGCCACTGTGAGAACAGGGTGCGGGCCTTTGGCCTGATCCAGCAGTGCTCTTCTGATGTTATTTTCACATACATCTTCCATGTATATTTTCCGTGCTTTTGTATACGTTCTTTGGCTGCCTTGCAAAATTCGGAGACATGCAAATTTTGAATGCACCTTTCCTGCAATTGCATGTGGCAATGTCTTCAAGAAAAAGAAAAAGATAGGCATCAAGGGAAGTTAGAGATTTTTTCTGGGGTGCAGTTCATGGCACAAGGGGGCAAGAAAGATAAGTTGCTTGAGGACTATTAGATTAATTTGTTCAAATTTTTAAAGCAGACTCTGAAACTGAGGTCTTGAAAAGCGTGTGGGAGAGACTGCATCTAACCCTCTTTGACCATATATATTTCATCTCCATATATCATTGCTTGTCTGAGGCCCGATTCCACCTGCTTGAATTTAATCAATAGCCTCTTTAATATTTGTCTCAATTAGGAAAGGTTCTGTTGCAGCCCAGTGAAGAATGTGGACATTAATATGTTAAAATATACATTAGAGGGCATTTTCTTCCTCTAAAAAAAGTAGAGAGATTGTTATTAAAAAATGCTTTTGTGCTCTATCAATAATATATCACGAGCAAATTAGTGTCTGAATTAATGGTGTGCAACTGGAGCTGGGGGGGAAACCACCCTCATTTTATTACATAGTAAAATGTCTTTAATTGTTGGAGTAGAACCATTTTATTGCATGCCATTACTTTTGGTAACAGCCCCTGTCCGTTGGTTGACCAGGAAATGTTATCAGACAGAACCAGGCCGAACATAAAGATGGAAAGAATAACATTATTGGGAAGGCATCTATATAGATTCCAGTTAAAAAGGTTCATAAAATTTCATTGGCGGAGGTGCTGGGGGGGCGACTCTTCTCCCCCTGCATTTTGATTCAGTCTTCTACCAACTCCCATCACTTCTGTGTCTGGTCCTACTCCCTTCCCTCACTCCAGCACCCTAGGAGTGAGTTTGGGGGTGTCAAAGACCTGTTGCTATTTTCCCTGCCTCCAGCATCCTCGCACCACCCAATCGGGATGAAAGGGGAGCTGAGAAGCAGGAAGAGCATCGTTCACTTTCTAAAAGAACACATGAACAGAAACATAGCCGTTCTTCCAAATCCACTCGTCTCTGAATTTCATTGCCTATGGGAGCCAGTGTGGTGTAGTGGTTAAGAGCGGTAGACTCGTAATCTGGTGAACCGGGTTTGCTTCCCTGCTCCTCCACATGCAGCTGCTGGGTGACCTTGGGCTAGTCACACTTCTCTGAAGTCTCTCAGCCTCACTCACCTCACAGAGTGTTTGTTGTGGGGGAGGAAGGGAAAGGAGAATGTTAGCAGCTTTGAGATTCCTTCGGATAGGGATAAAGCAGGATATCAAATCCAAACTCCTCCTCCTCCTCCTCCTCCTCTTCTTCTTCCTCCTCTTTCAGCCTCTGTTGCTTTACCACTTGTCACCCAAATCTGCTTATCCCTAGTGGCCGTTACCCCTATTAGTGTGTGACATCCTAGCTCAGCTATGTGCATCAGGAATGAGTTGCATGTGTTTGCATGTGGCATTCATTTAGACTGCCAGTTGTGTGGGAGTGACCTTATCTGTCCAGGTAACAAAAAGGACAAGGCACGCAGCGCTATCTCTCTCTCTCTGACTTCCTCCATCGTTGGAGCAGCTTTCTAGCTAGAGATGCTCTGTTGGCTTCCAGCCAACAGAGGACACTGGGATTAACCCCGTATGGGATAGATCCACATGCATATACTTTGCAACTAAGTCTGCCTTCAGGGATCCAACTGTGGACGGAATGTGTGAGTAAACTTCTTTTATGGGGGAAGTGGAAATCTCTCATGGGAACTCCAAGGCATGGCCTAACTGAGATACAGAAAGCTGAATACTGAGCTCTGGAAAGAGAGGAAAATACAATTGTTTGGAATTTAGAAGAAGAGACTGCAAGCCCATGTTTGGAGAAGCACGTGGCTGTAAATATTAAGTTTTAATTCCTCTATGTCTCTGCAAGTTAAGGTTTTTGAATGTTAAAGTCTGGACAATGGTTTAATTTCCAAAGAAGGGTATCATTCATATATAAGATTTGAGGTTATTAGCTGCAATTTCGCTACTCTTAATTGCCCACTGTAAGAACAGGGTGCTGGACCAGATAAGCCTTCAGCCCCGTCCCACAGAACTCTGCTTATGTTCTTATACCCTGCATTTGATCATGTATTTATTCATCTTCATCTTTTTGTCATTAAAGGAATTTTGTGGTGACGCTGTACAATTATACAAAGCCAATAATTCATACCTCTACGCTAAAGATAATTTTTTTTGTTAGCTCTTTAAAGTGTTCTTAATAACACTCGAAGGCACATTTAATTTAGAGTAGACTTCAAAGAGTAATTATGGTGTTTTAAAGCCATAGAGCTAATTAAACAGCACACATTAGGAGTTGATGGCTACAAACAGAGGTAAAGAGGTTTTGATTTCTGTAGCCAATTCTGCACTTGTGTTCTTTTTTTGCCAGGGAACAAATGATTCCATTGAAGGCTTCTGTCAGTATTAGAATCATAGAATCATAGAGTTGTAAGAGACCCCAAAGGTCATCAGGTCCAACCCCCTAAATTGCAGAGAAGTTAAATTGATGCCATGCTAGGTGCTGTTCCACAAGTGGAGAAACTCCCCACCCCCACAGGCCTAATACCAAGCCTATACATTTGTCTTGCAAGGTCATATATAATGCATATGTCTAGTGAGAACAGCATATAAAAATGCATTAGATTAAGGTGCTGTGGGGGAAAAATTCATTTATTTATTTCAAACACATTTTTATACTTTGTTGTTTAGTCATTTAGTCATGTCCGACTCTTCGTGACCCCATGGACCAGAGCACGCCAGGCACTCCTGTCTTCCACTGCCTCCCGCAGTTTGGTCAAACTCATGCTGGTAGCTTCGAGAACACTGTCCCACCATCTCGTCCTCTGTCGTCCCCTTCTCCTTGTGCCCTCCATCTTTCCCAACATCAGGGTCTTTTCCAGGGAGTCTTCTCTTCTCATGAGGTGGCCAAAGTATTGGAGCCTCAGCTTCAGGATCTGTCCTTCCAGTGAGCACTCAGGGCTGATTTCCTTCAGAATGGATAGGTTTGATCTTCTTGCAGTCCATGGGACTCTCAAGAGTCTCCTCCAGCACCATAATTCAAAAGCATCAATTCTTCGGCGATCAGCCTTCTTTATGGTCCAGCTCTCATGTCCATACATCACTACTGGGAAAACCATAGCTTTTACTATACGGACCTTTGTCGGCAAGGTGATGTCTCTGCTTTTAAAGATGCTGTCTAGGTTTGTCATTGCTTTTCTCCCAAGAAGCAGGCGTCTTTTAATTTCGTGGCTGCTGTCACCATCTGCAGTGATCATGGAGCCCAAGAAAGTAAAATCTCTCACTGCCTCCATTTCTTCCCCTTCTATTTGCTAGGGGGACCAGTGGCCATGATCTTCATTTTTTTGATGTTGAGCTTCAGACCATATTTTGCGCTCTCCTCTTTCACCCTCATTTTTATACTACTTGATTGTAAAAGAGCCCTCAAAGTGGTTTACAAAAAAGGAATAAAGCAATGATCAGTAACAGTTAAAAACAACTATTTCAAACATTCAGAAATAATTAAAATCAATGCTAAACCAAAAGCAGATTTGAATAAAACACACATCGATGCTCTACATATCTGGGTGGGCTTGTCGAAACAAAAACGTTTTCTGCAGGCACCAAAAATGGCACAGCAAAGGCTCCTGACTGATGGCAACAGGCAGGGAGTTCCAAAGTGTAGGTGCTGCCACACTAAAAAATTGATTTCTTAGAAATGAATATTTTGTGGCACCTGTTATGGTGCCAGATCTGCAGATCAAAGTGGCTGAGTGGACAAATATGAGATAAGGTGATCTTGCAGGTAAGCTGGTCCCAAGTTGTTAAGGGCTTTATATACTAATAGGTAAAGGTAAGGTAAAGGTAAAGGACCCCTGAATGGTTAAGTCTAGTCAAAGGCGGCTGAGGGGTTGCGGTGCTCATCTTGCTTTCAGGCCGAGGGAGCCGGCGTTTGTCCACAGACAGCTTTCTGGGTCATGTGGCCAGCAGGACTAAACCGCTTCTGGCGCAACGGAACACCGTGACGGAAACCAGAGCGCACAGAAATGCCATTTACCTTCCCACCGCAGTGATACCTACTTATCTACTTGCACTGGTGTTCTTTCGAACTGCTAGGTTGGCAGGAGCTGGGACAGAGCAACCGGAGCTCACCCTGTTGCGGGGATTCGAACCGCCAACCTTCTGATCGGCAAGCCCAAGAGCAGGCACCCCCAAACTTGGCCCTCCAGCTGTTTTGGGACTACAATTCCCATCATCCCTGACCAATGGTCCTGTTAGCTAGGGATGATGGGAGTTGTAGTCCCAAAACATCTGGAGGGCCGAGTTTGGGGATGGCTACCCAAGAGGCTCATTGAACTTGGTCTCGTCTATTATGTATATTAGCAGAAATTCACACTAATATGCTGATGAATTTTTACAAAGACTTTTCACAAAGAGTGCTATGGAAATTGGAAAAATGAGAAACCGAGAAACCAAAATGGGCACATCCCTTGCTCCTTGACCTAATGACCATTAGCCCCATGATGTCACAAGGCCACACCAACAACCCTGCCTTTCCCCGACTATACGTCTCATGCTGGAGACCTGAGTGTCCCTAGTTAAGTGTTTTCTTTCTCGTATGTGCTGTTGTTTGGATTTAAGGTGCTGTATTTATTTATTACAAATGGCAACCATTCTGGGAACAGGGTGGGCTGGAGTTTAGAATAAGTAAACATTGCCTAATGGTCTCCGAGGTGCAATCAGAGTCACAGAAAAGGCAGACTAAACAATGCGAGGCAATTTGTAACGCTTGATTATGAAACAAACGCAGAATGATTGCAAATGTTTGCATAATGACGCATCTCTCTGTATGCACAGTCAAGTGATCGCGTTTGTTTTGCAGGGCCGGTGGCGTAGTCTCGCCAACATTTTGTAAACAGGGACACTCTTAACATAAGAAGGGCCCTACTAAGTCAGAGCAAAGACCTAGGTCTTCTTCAGCATCCTGCATCCCATTGTGGACAACCAGAAGATGCCCCAATGGGAAGCCCACAAACAGGACATGAGTGCATTGGCCCTCTTCCATGGTAGTTGCCCAACAGCTGGCAGTCAGAGCATATCCTCCAACATTTCTTCAATAGGGATGAATTGTTGTTGTTTAGTCGTTTAGTTCTGTCCGACTCTTCGTGACCCCATGGACCAGAGCACGCCAGGTACTCCTGTCTTCCACTACCTCCCACAGTTTGGTCAAACTCATGCTGGTAGCTTCGAGAACACTGTCCAACCATCTCGTCCTCTGTCGTCCCCTTCTCCTTGTGCCCTCCATCTTTCCCAACATCAGGGTCTTTTCCAGGAGTCTTCTCTTCTCATGAGGTGGCCAAAGTATTGGAGCCTCAGCTTCACGATCTGTCCTTCCAGTGAGCACTCAGGGCTGATTTCCTTCAGAATGAATAGGTTTGATCTTCTTGCAGTCCATGGGACTCTCAAGAGTCTCCTCCAGCACCATAATTCGAAAGCACTGATTCTTCTGCGATCAGCCTTTATGGTCTAGCTCTCACTTACATACATCACTACTGGAAAAATAGGGATGAATAGGGTTGACCTATATAATAATAGCAATAATAGTAATAATAGTAATAATAGTAATAATAGTAATAATAGTAATAATAGTAATAATAGTAATAATAGTAATAATAGTAATAATAGTAATAATAGTAATAATAGTACCCCGCCAATCAGACTGGTTGCCCCAGCCACTCTGGGTGGCTTCCAACATATGTAAAAACACAATAAAACATTAAACAACATGAAAACCTTCCCTAAACAGGATTGCCTTCAGACTGCTCTGGGGTGGATAACACCACACCCTCCAACATTTCTCCAATGAAAATAGGGACATCCTAAGGAAAAGTTGGACATTCTGGGGTCAAATCCGAACCCGGGACAGCCTACGTAAACCCAGGACTGGAAAACAGGGACACTTGGAGGGTCTGTTAGAGGTGCAGTGAAACCTGGATGTAGACCACAGACCATAGTACAATAACCATAAGACATAATTAATAATACAATACTATTACAGCACTAGTTTAACAGTTTAGGGATTAATCATTATTGCTAATCAGCAATTAATAATTCATTTTAAATGCATCCAGAAAATTAAATAGGCATTAAACACACTAACAGGCCAGTTAACATCACAAAATAGACATAAAGCTAATGGCAGTAATAATGGCAACTAGCAGATTTCTCTTGAGAGGATAGATTCACAAAAGGGGAACCAATGACAGCTTTGCAAGTGGTATAGCACTGCAAGATTTCTGAGCTGAGGGGATCCTTGTCTGACAGACCCGCTTGGCAGCCAGATCCCTTGGCGTGTGGCAGCCCAGAATTCCCTCTCTAATCCCACATCCTACTGCTTATCTCGAGGAAGAACAGGGCACCCTGGAATCCTGGCCCGGGTCATCGAATGGATCTGCCATAAACATTACACTGGTACCTCAGGTTAAGTACTTAATTCGTTCCAGAGGTCTTTTCTTAACCTGAAACTGTTCTTAACCTGAAGCACCACTTTAGCTAATGGGGCCTCCCATTGTCACCACGCTGCCAGAGCACGATTTCTGTTCTCATCCTGAAGCAAAGTTCTTAACCCGAGGTACTATTTCTGGGTTAGCGGAGTCGGTAACCTGAAGCGTATGTAACCCAAGGTACCACTGTACAAAGATATGGCCGGAAGTTACAAGAGACTCAACCTCAAGGGATCAACAACCCTAGCCATAGATGTCAACTTTTCCCTTTTCTTGTGAGGAATCCTATTTGGAATAAGGGAATTTCCCTTAAAAAAAGGGAAACATTGACAGCTATGACCTTAGCCCTTTGGTAATGAAAAGAACAAGCCTTTATTTGCTACCTCCATTACAAAGGAAAACCATATTCAACAGTTGTCACCAAAAATACCTCCTGGTTATGAATCTGTAAGTTGTACAGCCGGGATGGAGTGATCCTTGTTCCCTAACAAATGGGTGTATCTCTCTAAGGCCTTGCTAGCTTCACACTGGTCTTCAGGTCACTTTTAAACTATGCTTCCTAATCCAAAATGGCTTCTTATTTCTGTCTTGATTTGTTGCAAGGCCAGACAAGCTCTGGAGATGGTCTTCTCTAAATTAAAAGTCCGCAAATACTGCAGCCTTTCCTCATATGGGAATTGCTAGGCATTTATGTGTTTTTAATAGTGTGTGTGGTGTTTGCCCTCCATCGGTGTGTGACATCATACTGGGTTCATAAGGAAAAGGTTAACTAATTGTAAAATGACTAACCAATGGGAACCCAAGGGGAGAAGTTAGAGTTAGAGTTAGAGTTAGGGTGGTTGAGAAGTCAGTCTGGAGTTAGAGAAGATACATAGAGGATAAGTCTGCGGGTTGGGCTAGTCTGATGTGAGAGAGTGAGAGAATCTGTTAAGAGGAGTCAGTCAAACAGTTGATATAATCAGTCAGAAGGTATTGGGAAGGTATAGGCCAGTAAAGAAACTAAAGTTAAGAAACTGACAGGAATATTATCTGAGAAACCATAAACTTGTTAATATTTATAAAATAAACTTGTTTATTTGGTTCAATTTTAAGAACTGTCTGGACTCAGTGTTTTACCCGAGAGTATCGGGTTGGTGGCAACGGGGAAGCGAGCACAGTGGTGGCACAGGGATCAATAGACCGTTAAACGTCCGGGGACCCTGTGTGATCGCCACAGTGTGCTTTGCTTTTTGTTGTAAATTGCTTCAGGACTTTGCATTGCGATTTGTAAGTATAATAAATCTAAACATGAGTAGACAGGCACTCCATCCACTGGGTAGCTCTATGAAGCCTTAAATGAAAGTAGCTGCAGAGTACAGTTATAAAATAAGGGATGCGGGTGGCGCTGTGGTCTAAACCACTGGGCCTCTTGGGCTTGCCGATCAGAAGGTCGGTGGTTCAAATCTCCGTGACAGGGTGAGCTCCCGTTGCTCGGTCCCAGCTCCTGCCAACCTGGCAGTTCGAAAGCACGTCAAAGTACAAGTAGATAAATAGATACCGCTCTGGCAGGAAGGTAAATGGCGTTTCCGTGCGCTGCTCTGGTTTCTCCAGAAGCGGCTTAGTCAT